CCCAACTTCCCTCCCCTGCTTTCTCTTTTCAGGAGAGCAGTTAGAGGAATGTTGACAGCCAGCCTCAGAACAGGGAGCCTCTGCCAGATGAAGCAAACGTTCTGTATGCATTTTGTTATCATTCAGCAAACTAGGACTATACACCCAGACCATAACTACACACATTACCAATGAGGTATAAATGCAACATACACTGCAGTCCCAGTAAGCACTCCCTAAGTGTTAGCCATATGATTACCACAATGCCCCAATCAGGGGTGGGGAACCTCTGGACTTAATGCCACATGTGGCCTTCCAGATCCCCAAGTATGGCCCCTGGACAGAATCTAAACTTCACAGAACAAATCCCTTCATTAAAAGTATTTGTTTGGTAAAATTTGGATTCAGTCAAAAGCCCTCACTCAAAGATCCAGAAGGCCACATGTGGCCCTAAGGCCACAGGTTCCCCACCGCTGTGAGGTGAATGACAGATACTTACTTCCTACTCTGTCACCAATACACAACTGACACTGTGCACACACACATGCAGCAGGCACAGACTACACAACTGCCCATGGGATACACGTTCATACCACAGAAGGCACAAACAGACAAGCAAACAGCAGCCCTCTTTCTTTTCTGCAACTCCCCTTAGCCAGAGAGTGTAGCAGTGGGGCACGAGAAGCACCCAGACACCAGGCCTCACCAGCCTCTTGGGCTTCCAACCCCGGCTGAGCCTCCCTCTCCAGCCTGCTCATGCCGGTTCCTGTCTCATTCTGAGGGCGATGCCACTGAGAATCCCCATGGCTGTGTCTTCCATCTGTCTGTCTCTGTCCATAGTCTGGAGGTGGGAGATAGATGGCCGAGGGAGCAGGGGGCATTCTGAGCAGAAGCCACTTCCCCTTGGACCCATGTACACGTAACAAGGATACCATCCTGAGGTTCCCATAGTCTGACCACAGGTCAGCTGAAGTGAGAAGCCTTCAGTGCTCTCTGCCACGCACAGCCGCACAGCCATATGCAGAGATCCGTGACAGCAGTGGCTGTCCGGGGTGGGAGATGGGGGGCCATGAGAGACAAGTGGCTGGGCATGAGGTCTAGCCCCAGCTGTGCAGCAGCCTGTGAGAACAGGCTGATACCTGTCATCCCACCAGAAGACAGAAGGCTGATCACCCCTAATCTGACTGGGAGAGCAAGACAGCAACTGTGTCAAACACCCTGTGCATGAGCAGAAGCACGGCAATCTTAATTCGTTATTTGAAGATCTCATTAAAGGAAAAGAAAGAAAAAAGATTCCATTTCTGCAGCCACGCAGTATGTTCAATCCTCTGTGGAACCTCCAAATAGCTTATCCATATTTTAAGGTAGGTGAATTCTGATTTTTTAAAATAATAGAGCAATCAGTCACTTGTTACATTTGTACACAGGTTTGCAGCTTACAGTATATTTCCACAACCAGGATTTTTATCTATTTGGAATAAACACTTTAGGCTATTATATCTGACTTGAAAAATTTAAAAGTATGCGAATAATAATGAAAACACTGCCCATAGACTTAGTACAATTGTGTAAGAGGTAAAATACAAATTTGCACGGGTGCAAAAACAGAACAAGTCCTACCTTGTGAAAGTTGCGCCTTGTGAACCAACCACGGCAGATAAAGTCTCTCTGCTGAAGTTAAACAGCCGCAACAGAGCAGTGATGACACAGAAAACAAACAATCCCTGGGAAAACAAAGCAGCAGCGACAGCCACAAACGCCCCGACACCCCCACCTTGCCCTCAACCTTTGTTTGCCTCACTCTGAAAAAAGATAAAATTTTGCTGAAAATCTTCCTCTTTTAACTAGCTGCTGAACTGACGCGCAACGGAAATAATATAAGTCCGTGCTAAAAGATAGAACAAAAAATTTATTCGAAAATTGACAAGGCGGAAAAAAAAAACAACCCGAAAAACCAAAACAAACAAATAAAAAACAAACAAACCAAACAAAAAAACCCAACAAAAGTGCTCTAGTTCTCTCTAGAAAATTTGGTCCCCCGAACGACAAACTACAGGACAACCAGGTCTGGGGTTTTTTGGCCAGCCGGCTCCCGGCTACAAGCCCGCGTTGGCTGGCCAGCTGCGGGTTTCACATTTCTCTTTCGGAAGGTGGGAGAAGCAAGATGTTTGAAAAACAAAAACCAGGGAGGGACTAACCATCCCTGCAGCGTGTGCCTGGCAGGCAGTGATCTCCCGGCATCCCGGGCTTGCATCGGCAGATCCGGGAAAATTTGTTTCTAATTTTATTTTCAAACCGGGAGAGAGGGAAACTCCCTCAATTCGTAGACGAAACCACCTTTTACCGGGTATGTTCTCCCACATCGCAGAACACAGCTTTTTGTAGGCCCGACAGGAACTCTACTGCAAATCTCCCAGAAGAGAAGATGAGGAACACTAAAGCTTTTGATTTTCACGTTTGGCTTTAGCAAACTCCAAGGCCACATACTTCGCCGGGTTTCCCGGTGAATTATTTTTCTTAAAAATATTTTTTTTGATTATTTAAAAAAGCCCCACCGATCTTTTAAGCAAAACAGTAGCCAGCCGCCGGGCCTGGAGGTGCCCGAAGCCCCGGGATGGAGAGCGGAGGGAACGCAGCCTTCCTCCGCGCGGGGACGTGGTGAACACCCGAGCGCAGGCCGCAGAGCCAGGCTGCCCGGCGCCCCACTTGGTCCCAACCCCGGCCCTGTGCTGGAGGTCCCCACGGCAAGCGGCTTCTGAACAGCTCCCAGAGGGTTAGCAGAGCAAACAGACAAGTTCGTCCTTCCCTTTCTCGGGCGGCGCGGGTCCCGCTGCTGGTCCAGCCCGGCGCTTTTAGGCAAGGATTGCGCGGCAGTCGGACGGGGAAAGCGGAGCGTGAGCGCACCGACCTGTGGGACAAGGCCGAGAGGTCTGCGCAGCCGATGCCCGGCTGCACCTCGGCCCGGGGCGCTTTCTCTCCGCGCGGAATTTTGGCATAGTGTCCAGCCCAGACGCTGGGGCTCCAAGAAGAGACGAAGCCTGTAGAAAGAGCGCGGAGCGGCGGCTTCAGGCTGGGGGAGCGCAAGGGCAAAGAGGTCAGGGAGGCGAGCTCAAGAGGAGAAGCGGAGGGGACAAAGAGGAGCGAGAGGAGCTGAGGGGAGCGAAGAAGCGCAGAGGGGCCATGAGCGCTGGCTCAAGAGGCGGCCCCAGCGGGCGCGAGTTCCGCCTGGCGGCGGTGGCTGCCACCAGGGCCGGCATCCCACGAGTCTGCATCCTTGCATCGGTCCGCGCGGGCATGCGGTGGGCTCTCAGAGATCGAGGCGCGAATGCAGCGCGCTGGTCTTGCTGTCGTGGTCCCAGTAAGAGCAATGCATCATGGCGAGCTCGGGCTGCCGGGCGCAGGCGAACTGCAGACCCGGCGCACTGGTGGGCGCGGGCGCCGGGGGCGCGGCGGTGGCTGGGCTGGCGGGGCTGAGCTGGCCTGGGGGCGGTGCAGTGGCCCCGTGGTGCGGTGGGGCCGGCGGGGGTGCGGCGGCTGCGTGCAGATGGTGCGCGTGCGGATGTGGATGAGGGTGCGGAGGTGGCGGGGGCGCGGCCGGCGGGCCTCCTAGGCCGTTGTACGAGTTCACTACGCCGGGGGGCAGCGCCATGCTCTGTACGCGTGAGTACGGCCCGTACGAGGCGGCCGGGCCCGCCAGCCCCTTGACCACAGCAGCGGCGCCAGGGCTGCCTGGACCCGCGGCCGCAGCCGCCGCTGCCGCAGCCGCTGCGGCCGCGGCCATCTGGCAGGAGGCGTAGGGCATGGGTGAAGGCGGCTGCGGGAGCGGCCAAGAGTTGTTGAGGAAGCCGGACTGCAGGTACTTGGGGGGTGCCAGGTAGCCGTAGCCGTCGGCCCCTGCGCCCGCCACGCCGCAGCCGCCCGCTGCGCCTCCGGCCCCGAAGAGCCCCTTGCCGGGCTGGAAGTGCGCGGGCGGCGGCCGGAAGGGCCGCTTCATGCGGCGGCGACGCCGGTAGTTGCCCTTCTCGAACATGTCCTCGCAGGCCGGGTCCAGCGTCCAGTAGTTGCCCTTGCGCTCGCCGCCGCCCTCGCGCGGCACCTTAATGAAGCACTCGTTGAGGCTGAGGTTGTGGCGGATGCTGTTTTGCCACCCCTTCTTGTTCTTCTCGTAGAACGGGAACTTGGCGATGATGTACTGGTAGATGCCGGACAGCGTGAGCCTCTTCTCGGCGCTCTCGCGGATTGCCATGGCGATGAGCGCCACGTACGAGTACGGGGGCTTCTGCGCCGGGTCGGGCTTCTCCGGGACTGTCCCACCGCCGCTCCCGCCGCCTTTGCCCGGGCTCGGCGGTGGCGCCTCCGGCTCCTTGACTGTGCGGCCGGTCTCCGGGGCCAGCAGGGCCCCCGCGGCGTCCTCGGGCTCAGGGTAGCTGGCCATCATGACAAAGCCGGCGAGCCGCTGCAGGGCCGCCCCTGCTCTCCTCTCTAGGCGCTGGCGCGGTGAAGTGTTGGGGCGCAGAAGTCCGCTCGAGGCCGAGTCTGAAACTTCTGGAGACTGCGGAGGCCTCTCGCTGCTCTCCTCTCTTCTTTCCCTCTTCTTTCCCTTCCCCTAGGGAGCGGCCAGCGGGAGTGGAGCTCAGCCTCTGGCCATGGGGAGTCCGCCCAACAGAGAGGGGCTCCGGCGCCGCCGCCCCTCCCCGCCCAAGCCAGTCCCCGCCTCGGTGGGTTTTCTTTTTTGCGCTCTTCCCCTCCCCCCACCCCCCGTTTCCCTAAGCACGACCCGCGTCTCCGGCGGAGCTGCCTCCTGCAGTCCCCAGTGTGCCCGGAGCCTCGCTCTGTTCTGATTCGTATGGGCTCCGCCGAGTTCCGCTTGCGTCAGGCGCCTTCGCCCCTATAGCGGGGCGGCCAGCCGCGCACGGGCTAGTTCATCTCCAAGTCACTTTTTGTAAACGCCTCGCACAGCCTGGACCGGCCTGCCTCCACTCGGCGAGCCGCGGGGACCCGGCCGACAGCCGGGCTCACGCTCTCACGAGCCCCTGATCTGCCGGTGCTTGCTCTGCGGACTGAGCCGGGAGATGCCGAGGGCTCCGGTGGGGTCCGCCCGTACCCGGCCCGTGCGCAGGGAGCTCGGGCTCCAGCGAGGAGAGGCGCTCCAAGCCTCCTCGCAGCTTTCAGGTGAAAGAAAACGACTCTTTTGCTCTGCCCTTTGCTGCTGTCTTGGGGCTAAACTTCTAGCTTGGCGCTGGGGGAGGGGCGAGCCGGCAAGGGGGCCGGACCGGGGTGGGGTGGGGAGAGCTGCTCTGGAGCTTTGGGAAAACCAGTCCAGAAACGCGTGTCGCTGAACGAAGAAACCTCGGCCTGGCCTGTCCCTCGCGCTCTCAGAGCGAGTGGACCATGGTGGAGCTGAGGAGAGGATCACTGGGAAGAGAGGTCCAGGGGCGCCGGCTGAATCGCTTTGCCTTTCTCTGCGTTGGGAGAGGATCTAGGAACCAGGCCACTCTTCGGAATTCGGAATTCGCGTTGTAATTCTACAGGCTGGAGTGACGGTTGTGTGTGTGCTTAAACAACACCAAGTAGATGTCCCTCTGCTCTTGTGTGAACACAGGCGAGGATGTTGCTTGGGGCTTTGAGGAACTGTGTATGTGTGTGCACAGGTGTCACATGCGGAAATCATGGGGAGAGTCTGTCTCTGAGGCGGGTGAGATGCCAGCTGTCCAGGTGCACGTGTGCTGGTCAAAAACACAGGTATGCACATGTGCAAGGTGTAGTATTTGTATTTGTACGGTAAAACATATTCATACAGATATGTAATGATATATGTGTATCAAATATCAGAGTATGGTTGGTGGATATAGCACCTACTCTCTTTTCTTCTCTTCTATTCTCATTTTTCCTTTCTTTTCTTTCTTTCACAATTCTTTCGTGTCTCCTTTCTTCCCAGTGTATGTATTCTATCACAGCCTGGGAAGAAAAATAACATGCTGAGGGAGGAACTCATTCAGATCTCTCTCACGATGAGACATTTGTTCTAATCTTTTCTCCAAAGGCTCAAGGGTGAGTTCTCACCTCCCTTCAGCAGAAGTATGATCGGGACCCAGTTAGATTAGCACGTGCAGAGATTGTCTCAGGGAAAAATCAGTGCTGGCAAAAAAACCCCTCAGGTGTGCCTTTTAACAGTGCCCTTTAACTTAGCCCTAACAAAAAGTCTACAGTCATAAAGTGTGAGAAAGTTGGCTGGTATTTTGAATCCTTAAGCGCCAAACTCCTGGGTGCTGAGGAGGGGGGCCAGGATGCTTTGTGGAGAAGGTGGACTGAATGGTGGCCTGCAGGTGTGTGTTAGTGATTGGCATGTGTGGTGTGGCTGGCCCAATGCCTGTCACTACCTCTTCCTCCCAGGCTAAGCAGTCTCTGAGAAATTCTCCTGAAGCCTGAGGAGCCTTCAGTAACCTGTGGCTCCAGCATCCACAGGCCACCTTCATGTGCTGTCTGCTTCTCACCCCAGACTCTGATCTGCATTCTGAGGTGAAAGGAAGAGAGACAGGGTGATGGGGCTCGTTAGAATTCACCATCTTGAAGATGACTCTAGCGAGGTCAGCAGGGCAGCCCTGGCCTGGTCGCAAGGCTCTACTCACCTCAGTAAATACCCACCTCTACTCCTTATTGAAAATATCCCAAAGTAGCTTGGTTGTTTTTCTGGGCTGTCTCCCGCTGCTCCCAACATACACGGGGGCAAGCAGCACTTCTTCAAAGTCTCTGGGGCTGCTTCCTGAGCTGCAGTGCAGGTGTTTTTCTTCTTCCTTACTCCTAGCCCCATCAGTGCCCAGGCTATGGGTGGGAACGGTGAGTTATGTTTGGGGCTGCTGTGGATTGGCCCCACAGCCCACCCTCCCCCAGTGCCTGGGCAGGGGGATAAACAGCTGGGGCTTGCCCCATCCTGGTAAGGGCTGCTCTCTCCTTTTTTTCCTTGACCACCCAGGCTGGCTCTGTGCCTCTCTTCCTCTCTTTCTCACTCTCTCTCCCCTTCACAGGCATTTCCGCTGCTCAGCCCGGCAGCAGCCAGGTGTAACAGCATTGTTGTGTGTGTCATCACTTCCCTGAATTCCACACTCGGCTCTCTTTTCAGCTTTCAAGGAGCTTGTGTGTGTGTGTGTGTGTGTGTGTGTGTGTGTGTGTGTGTATGTGTGTGTAGGGGTGGGAGTAAAGGAAGGAGTTCCTTGAAAGGGTTTTCTGAGTGGAAAGAAGAGGAGTCCTGATCTTGCCAGATATTGATTTCTGACTGTCCTTTCGAGGAACAGAACCCCCAGCTCAGATAAAGAAGGAGATGCCTGGTGTGGGCACACTGGGAAGGGCTGGAATCAGTCTCTCCCCCGCATGTGCCTTCCCACGGCTGTCTGGCATTCGAAAAACAGGCAAAACAGGCAAAGCAGGCAAGGAAATGCGGGGTGGGAGTGTGGTGCAGTGATTACATCCAGGTCTGCTCCAGGCCTTTGGGGAGAACCTGGGATCTTCGGACTGGAGGTAAAGGAGCGGACGGAGAGGGTAGATCCACTCCTTGTCGCACCCTGCCCGGGGTGGGTGAGGCGGGCGCTCCAGGAAGCCGTGGAGCATGCCTTGGTTTACTTCTCAACTTTCTTCGGCAGGCTGGGTAGAGACCCGCTTCCTGGCAAGGTGGGGATCCTGTCCGACAGGATATATTGTGCCGAGGCTTTGTGGACTCCAGGACCGCCCCCCGCCATTGCTGCGACGCAGTGACCTGGGGGCGGCGCCCACCTCCAAGGGCCGGGATCTCGAGCCGGATGGAGCCCTCTGTCACTTCTGCTCAGGTTTTCCAGGGTCCCGCAGCTGCAGCTGACTAGCCACCCGCGCCTCCCGGCAGGCTGGCCCCGCGCCTCGGGGTCGGACAGCAGCCGGCGCGAGCAATTTACTCGGCTCTGATGGAGCGAGACGCTTCTTCCCCCAGGGCCGGGAATCTGCAACGGCGGCGGAAGCGGCCCTCGCCTCCGGCTCGCCTGGTCCTGCCAGGGAATGGGGTAGCGGCTCCAGCGCGGGCAGCGCTTCCCTGGCACCGCTTAGCTGGGTCAGGGCTGCTGCAGGCCCAGGTCCCGCGGTCCCCTCTCCTAGCGGGGCACCGAAACATCCACGGCTTCACACTCCTGGGTGAGGAAAAGAACCGAGCCTGCTGCAACCCTTTCTTTATGAGAACGGCCACTGCGGCGCATGGCGGGACAAGAGAAGCGTCAGTGTGCTTATTAGCAACTGCACACCTCGACAACTGTCAGCACTCCCTCCTTTCCTCAAGGACTCCACGTCCCTTTGTTCAGGTCACATTCCTCCATCCAATTCTCTCTCTCAGTCAACTCCGAATCCCTTCTAGTTCTTCTCCCCACGACTCTCTCACCCTCACCTCCTGCAACACTAGTTCCGATCCTGCACACTGATGGACACATGTCAGCCTGATGCCCGGACTCTAAGCCTCGTCACACATTGCACACCCACCCTCTCATGACACAGAAGGACCTCTTGGCTCCACGTCTGTGAGTCTGATTCTCGGAAACCTGTTGATCCTCTGATGTTCTTGGCCTGTGGTTAGGGTGACTGGACCACCACCTGGGTGTTCCCATGGCAGGGTTGCTGCTCAGAGATCCTTTGAGAAGCTCAGACACAGAACATGCCCCAGATGCACTTTGACACACACAGGCCACTCACACAGGCTTCATCTCTGTTTTGCAGCAATGCTGAGCTCACAGCTCAGACTGACAGGCTGCAGCCCCAGGGGCTTGCACGGCTCTTGTGTGCACACCCACACAGCGCCAGGCCAGGCCTACAGCCAGTGGGTATTAGTCTGCCTGGTTGGGATTAGCAGAGTCACTTACCCAAATATGTGCTGGGGAGAGAGTAGGGGAGCAGAGAGAGAGAAAGAAAGAGAGGTTGAGAAAGGGAAAGGAGAAGCCACTTCCCACTCTGGGGAAGAACTCACAGATGAGAGCTATTTCCAGTTGGTAAGTGTCCTATTGAACTCCTCCCTCTCTCTCCTGGGAGGGCTGAGAGGCAGCAGGCCAGTGCTCTGGGCTTCTCCTTACCTCGCTGATGTAATGTGGGGTTGTAAGCCACCAGCACCTCTTTGTCCTGAGGAGTGTGTGTCCTACCCTCTATCTGGCAGACTGCAGGGCACTTGGAGGCCTTTCTCATGATTGAAGCTAACTCAGGGAGAAAAGGCAGAGGAGGCTGGCTCCTGGGGCAAGTGAGAGCCTCCTGCCTCCAAAAACCTCTGGGGTGCACCCAGAGAGAGAATTCCAGGGTGGTGGGAGCTGCTGACCAGCTTCCTCTGATATTCCCAGTGACTTTCATGGCCCAAAGCCATTTTGTTCAGCCCTGAACACTGAATGCCTTGCCCACTGGGCCCCAGATTGTTTGGGAGAATGATGTATCATTTACAGTTGCCTTGTTGCCTTTCTCCACATCTAGACTATACAACTTGATGTATTTTTTAAAACTTTTCTTTAATGTAACCACTACCTGGATCAAGATATGGAATCTTTCCGTCACCTCAGAAGGTTCCCTTTAGTCTTTTTCCAGTCAATACCTGTCCCCAAAGGTAACCTGTATTCTGATTTTTATCACCATAAGTTAACTTTGCCTGCTCTGAGTTTCATATACATGGAACATCTTGCATGTACTCTTTCATGACTATTTTCTTCTGCATAATATGTTTTTAACATTCACTGGTTTTGTTGCATGTGTCAGACATTCATTTCTTTTTTATTGCTGTGTAATATTCTACAATTTGCTTATCTACCCACCTATTGATGGATATTCATTTCCAGTTTGGGGATATCATAAATGAAGATGCTGTCCACATTGTTGTACATGTCTTTTTGTGAAAGGCATTTCACAAGTCTTGAGTGAATATGTAGGAGCAGGCATATACTTAGTTTTAGTAGATATTGCCAGTTTCCAAAGTGGTAGAACGAATTGCAGTGATATACAGATATATAGACATTCTATAACAGGGCCTTTTCCTCATAGACAACCTTCCTTAAAGACTACTATATACCTGCAGCTGTTATTATTATTTTAAAGTAAAAAATAGTTATCCTTTATTAAGTATTTATTTTGTGCCAGGAACTTTCCATGCATTATCTCATTTCATTTTTATGAGAAAGCTGAGGTGCTGGTACTATTCTCATTTTACAGATGAGGAAACTGAGGCTCAGAGAAGTTGAGTAACATGCCAAAAGCTCCCAGCTAATAAGTGGCAGCTTGCCTTTGGAGTCCCAAGTTTCACCTCTGTGCATATACCTCTGTTTGTGTCTGCAAGGGCAGGAAGTCCTTCCTTTCATCTGACCAAATCTGGTTGCTGGTTAAGAGACCTTTTCCTATTAACCTCTCGTCCTTTCCATGTACCTTCTCACAGCCAGGCTTGAGATCTCTGCACACACACATGTGCGCAGTTTACCACAGCTATGCATACTGACTGTGAAGAAGAAGGGCATGGGAGCCAATTTAGTGTAAACTTCAGAGCTTGCCAACTCCTGGGCTCAGCAACCTGAGGTTGTCTCTCTCAGGGAATTTGCAGAAGATCAGACCAGGGATCCATCTGTTTCTGGATGCTATGGAGGAGAATTCAGAGACATTCTTTCCCTGGGAAGAGGTGAGAATTTGGTTCTTCTTCCAGCATGCTGCACCAAGCCCAGGATTGGTTTCAAGGACATCAGCCTGGGGCATCCCTCTGCGGGGTTTGTCCAGTGATGTTCAACTTGCCTTAAAAGGAGGTAATCACCTAAATATGTACCTTGCCTTGGAAAGTGGTAAGTGGGGGAGGATGTGTGTGGTGTGAGGAGGAGAGAAAGCAGGAAGTTGGGGAACTGCACTTCCGGACAAAGTGCTTGACTGGGCCGAGTGGGATTTGGTCACTGCGGGAAAGGGTGGGTGGGGAGGTCGGGAGTAGGGGGTGGCATGGCCGAGGTGGGGGGAGGAGAGCCAGCAGCCTTCTCCTTAGGACCATGTGTTACCAAGTCTCCAAGGGCCTGGCTTGACCAGAGATGTGCCACCCTGTGGGAAGAGACCATATGTGGGCTTAACACTCTTTGCAGCTGGCTGCTCCTCAGGCCCGTAGACTAATTGAGAACTTTACTGGGCTGCGGTTTGTAACTTGGTAACTGCACAGGCTGCTGTGGTGTACAAGCTGGTTTTGTTGGGGAAGTGGTAGTCAACATTGGGGCTTTGGTAGGGACAGTCCAGATCCTGGTGTGCCCGTTACAGGTACCCTCTGGCCTTTTGCTCGGAGCAGCACTTCTGAGAACAGGGACTGGTAGCATGTCTGCACAGGAAAGGACCCCTGTGTAGGTGGTGGGAACGCAGGTCCAGAAATACACAAAATGTGCTCTAGCCACAGAGGTTAGTGCAGATAGAATGAGGTCTTGATGTCCGTACGCTATCTATGCAACCACTGTGACGGGCGGGAGACACTACGTTAAGAATGGCTAACATGGACCTCTGTTGCAATTTTTACTGATATCACCTGAAAATTTGGAGCCTTGCCTTGCTGTCAGTTTAAAATTCAAGTTTTGGCCTGGGCGGTGTCAGCCTGTAATCTAGTTCTCTGGAGGCCGAGCGGCGATCATTGAGCAGGAGTTCAAACCAGCCTGAGCAAAGAGAACCCCGTCTCTACTATCACTAGATAGAATTGATTGACCAACTAATGTATATAGAAAAATTATTACCGCATGGTTGTGCACATGTCGTAGTCCCAGCTACCGGGCGAGGCAGAAGGATCCTTGAGCCCAGATTTCGAGGTTGCTGACTAGCTGATCACGCACTACTCTACCTGGGCAACAGAGTAACTCTGTCTCAAAAAAAATTTTTTTTCAGTTGAATAGCATGTATTACATAGACCAAAATAATTAAAAAATATAAGAAACTGCAGTGAGGTCTCCCTCCCACTTCTGTCCACAAATCAACCGTCCCATAGACAGCCAGTGACCCTGGTTTTGTGTATATCCTTCCAGAGCTTATGCACATACAACTGTGCACACATACATACTCCCGCACTCCTCAACCTTTTGCCATGCAGCACAATCCAGCTTCACTCGAACCTTAAAATATTTTTCAATATTGGCTGGTCCGAGTGCAGTGGTGTTTACAACTAATTAATCAATCCAGTTTTTAGTCCTCGTGATTCCTTCTCCACTCCCGCTGCTTCACTTGACCTGCCTAAAAAAATTTTTTTCATATCAATGCATTCTCTTTTTAGAGCATGATATGTAGGTTGTTTCTGATCCTCTGCTTTATAACAATACTACTGATAAATTGTCTATACCTAATTTTGTAGATATGCACATGTATTTATAAAAAAATTCTAGAAGTGTAAGATTTGGGTCAAAGGATACATGCACTTATAACTTTGATAGCTTATGCCAAATTACCTTCTTTTTTTTTTATTTCGGCATATTATGGGGGTACAGATTTTAAAGTTTCAATAAGATCCCTTTCCCCCTCCCCCCACAAGTCTGAGTCTCCAGCGTGACCATCCCCAGATGGTGCGCCTATCACTCGTTATGTATGTATATACCCGCCCCCCACCCCGCTCCCAAATACCCTATTACTGTAGTAGCCTATGTGTCCACTTAGGTGCTACTCAGTTAAAACCAGTTTGCTGGAGAATATATCTGTGCTTGTTTTTCCATTCTTGGATACTTCACTTATAGCTAATATGGGTTCCCACTCTACCCGGAAATAAAGCAATACCTATTATAATGTAACAGGATACGCTCCTCCCAACGGTTTATGGCACTCCTGTTTCTCAGAGACTCACTAACATAGGTCTTTCTTTCTTTTTCTTTCTTTTTGTTTTTATTAAGAGACAGGGATCTTGCTATGTTGCCCAGGCTGACCTTGAACTCCAGGGTTCATGTGACCCTCCTGCCTCCGGAGTAGCTGGGGCTTTAGGTGCACTTCACTGTGTCCAGCAGGTCTTTCTTTTCAAGAAAGAAATCTTACAGATAAAGTCGAGGACCCCTCTGTTCCCTTCCTTTACCTCTCTCTGTCCCTTTCTCTCCTGAGGTGGTCACCATGGTAAATTTGGTGCTTAATATTCCCAAATCTGTTTTTGTACTTATACAAGTGTATCCATTCCTCGACAATTATTGGTATAGTTTTGTTTCATAACTTTATATAAATGGTATCCTGCTGTTGAAGAAAGACACGTGCTTGCTTTTTCATTCAACCTTATGTTTGTAAAAACGGTCCTGGTTAATACACAAAGACAAGCTCCATTCATTTTCCCTGTGTCACATCATACCATTGTATGAACACACTGCGGTTTATTTATCCATGTTCCTGTTGAGAGACGTTGGGTTATTTCCTGTTCTTTACTATTACCAATAGTCCTGCTATGGACATTCTTATGCATGTCTGCTAGTGTTCGTGTGCCACAGTTTATCAGGAAGTGGGACTAC